ATTCAATTCATATAAGAAATATATTAACATTCAACAGTAAGTATTTAAACAATACAGAGATAGAAATTGTCATTCACAACACAGGCGTCATCAGATTGTTACAGAAATTGAAGCATAATATTCAGTCACATTTTACCGTCGATAGCATAATATGTTTTACATGTACCTGGAGATTATACATACACTTGATAAATATTAATCCCGATAGCATAAAACAACCTTTTCACTTATGTACAATCATTTCTGTGAATAGTTGGACTTCTAGTGAGTGCAACACATCAGGAAATACAGAAGTATTGTCTTCGCATTAACAAAATAATCAGGTCTTTGGTGAATGGGTTATAAGTGCCTGGGAACAAAATAAAACTTGAAGTTAATCCTTTAAATTATGATCTAATTTCTAAAACGCTTTTAAGGAGAAACGAAATAGTTTTAGAAAATGCCTCATGCTTGGTTATAACCGTATTACCGCCTTGTATTACCGCAATAACTGCTAGCTGACAAATTGGTTCGAGTGCAGTTCTCACCCCTGTGATACGGGTGAAAGATTTTCTATTAGAAAACTCTCATTTCTGTAAGTTAACTTGCCTAGTAAATGATGTCAAACGAATGAACCTGGAAAACACTTAGGCCAATTGCCTTGCACACTGCTAATCTCAAATATGCAAAACCGTCCTGATATTGACCAGGTTAAGTTTTCACTGGATGTAACTCAGGACAGGTTTTTGGATTCAGACTCAATAGCTTACCTTTTATATAATCACCATAAAGTATCGCCGGACAACTGAAATAAGCAAGAAATCTTACTGACGGCTTTGCTGCCGAAGTGATGAAGAGTGTAGTCTCATCTCACCAGGCTAGAGTCAACAATATCCCTGACTCAATCACTCCAAAGACTTTGAAAAACAAATTCCTGAATTGCCACCGCATGGCTAGTATGCCATATTAATGAAAATGACATCGAAAACTCCAAGCCAATTGTCAATGAAGGTGAACACTGAACGTTTATTTTTGGAACTGGTAGATATTGGTAGGCAACATGAAGGCGCGAATGGTTCGATCGTGTAAAAGTTCGAAGAAGACGACCAAAAACGAATAAAAACTTTCAGTGTTCTCCGCTTTAGTTGCCAAAAAATATAACTTCCTTCTTACAATACTGGTGTTTCGGAGCTAAAGTCGTAGAAAGTACATAGTATTTATCGGTGCGGAGCGTCTTCGTACAATAGGAACTTAGAGATAAGTTCCTTCACAGTTTCTATTGATCTGTTTGTTTTCTGTAGCGCCTTCTGGAACTTCCAGGATTATTTACTGGGTCTGAGCCAGCATCTCCTTGGACACGGACTATCAACCTGATTTGGATTCTTCGGTGACGTTGGATAATGCCTGGGTCAACAAAGGAAAGTGTCAACATTGAAGCAGACAAAAATGTAAGTGATGATGAATTGACAATTAATTGTAATGATATGCATGATGCTCAGCATGAAGAGTCTGATTTTTACGCTTCGCCGTTTAGGGATAGTAGTGCGGTGAGAATACCCTAGTTTGAACAATACTTTTACATAAAGCCAGCCGACTACCCACAGTTTATCAAATAGTTTGAAGTCATAAGGAGTGGTTTTCTATTAAATAATGAAACGAAGTTGATGCATTTGTTGAGGTACTGCACTGGAGTTGCTTCAAGAGCTATATACTGCTGTAAGATTATGAAGCCAAACGAATGATACTCTGAGGCTATGAGTATACTACGTCAAAGATTCGGAAGACTTTCAATGATTGTAACAAATGTATTCGAGGCTGTTAAAGGTAATGGTAGTCAATTATGAGATGACTCCAAGGCCTCACTGAGTACTTGGATAATGTGAAGACCTACAAGAATACGTTGATTTCGATGAATTGCATGAGTGATCTGAAAACAAGTTCCGTCCCAGAGGTAATAACGAGACGCTTGCCTACTCGACTGCAAAGAGAGTGGGTGAAGATAAGCTCTCGTATAGAGGATGAAGGTATTGAGTCAAAGTTCGATGATATTCTGAAACTGGTAAAAGATAGTGTCAACCAAGCTATGAGCAAGTTTGCAAGTATATTGCATCCTACCTCTAGAATAGAGAAGTGTGAGATCAATACGCAATGATTTATGACAAAAAGATCTCAGTGAAGTGGTGTCTAGCGATCCACATAAACTAAGTGAGTGTGACAGATTTCGTGGGACATCCCCAACAGATAGGTTATAAGCTTCGAGACAAACACAGTGGTGGTCGTTTTTTCTCGCGTGGTTTTCGCTTTTATTATTCTTTCTTGTATTCCCACTTTTCAATATATATCCTTAGTGCCACTGACTAGCAATATTTTTTCATATCTAAACCTACCTTCCTAGTCACTGGATATTATCCTTGCCGGTTTTCCTGTTTCAGGCTATTGATTAAGGTATTACCACTTCGAGCATCTGAATTTCGGTGCACATATTACGCTTGTTTTTTGTTTTGACATAACGTCAAACAACCTAAGACTCATATACCTCTGCAGTTCTGTATTAGCTATACACAAAATGCCTGGTAAACTATCGAAGCGACGTGCTTCACTATCAGCTGAAAAAATCAGCAAAAGACATAGATCTAGCAAGCCTAAACAACATGGTAACACACTTTCCCCTGATCTGACGCAGATGCTAAATGATACAAGATCGGAAATCATTACTTCTTCACCTTCTTGTGTAATAAATGATTTTATCAGGGATATTTACAATAGTACAGGTTGTGAGACAAGTAGTATGGATCCTTACCTAGCCACACTGGCTCTTAGTAGAAAATCTGACACAGGCTCTTCTGATGTGGTTGAAACCACACCACCCATATACCCTGCTCAGAACTGTCAGTCAGAAGGTCCGAACATACATATGGCCTCACTATCCTCTATACCTGCTAATATCAATTCTTTAGGTTGTGTCAAAAGAAATGTTGACTCCCCCAAATGCTTAGTAAACTTAGACATCGACCTCGATAATCCTTGCAACACACAGGCAGATTTGCTATCACCTAATTCTATTCAACCGGATGCTTTTATGCAGGCTACAAATATGCCAGTTCAGAAGTTAGATTGTAGCACCACCGCTTCCATTACCAACAAAGCCCCTCAACGCAAAAATTTCCATCGGTCATCAGCGACCCGTGGACGTCAACCTAATGCCAAATTGGAAAACGCCAACTGCTCATTATCTACGCAGAACACAACTACCCAAACCAATAACCTGGAAAGTAGAGACATTCTTCCATTAGTCCATGATCTCTTACCCCTTAGGTATCTTATGAAGCCTGCTGACTTTCCTGACTATGATACACTACAGTCTTGTGAGAGAATTATAGATCACATTTCCACGGAAGTGATTAAGCGTGTTCAGTGCATGTATAATGCAATCGTTTTCAATGTGCCCGACAGTACTAACATTAAAACATTGAAAAATGCACTTTTAAAGACATGTGAAATACCAGACTCCCATTGTAGGTGCAAACGATTGCGTAAATCTTCAGCTAATACATCCTGTCCAATAATGTTCGAATTTAATAACATTGTGGATGCTAGTCGCTTTGTAAACAACCAACATCTCTTTAAGAGAGTAAGCAACTTTAAGAATATACGTATTATTCACGACAGGACACCAATCCAGCGTCGTGCCAAGCAAAGTGTCTCAGCAGGTGAAATAAGTCACCAAAAGGATACTACCAGCCCCATTGATGTTAATAAAAAATACCACCCAAACCCTAAAAGAAACCCTCCACCTAGTTACACTGAAATGAAGCCTGGTAGGGTTACCAATACTAAATCCAGTACTTCTCCAGCTGTTAAACAACCTGAAAAGCACTCACTGTCTGCAAAAGGTACCAATGAAAATCCTACCCGCCATGCTAAATATACCGAAAACCCTTGTATCACATTCACGTCTAGCTCTCAAATTATGAGAAAAAATGTAAAAAATAGAATTCCTATGCGTGGCACACACTCTATCAAGCCTGTTTCAGCATCCTCTACTACTCATGCGCTTAGATTTCCTAAAATGACATCTACGGTATCAAATCTAACAGACACTAGTCAACCTCCCTCATTCACTTTTCCTCACCATTCTAATACAACCACTTATAGCTACCCTACCTCTACTATGAGGTTGCGTAATACTAAATTCAACTATGCCCATATCCCTGGTGCACAGCCACATGGATTCAGTCGCCCAAACTTTCAGCATAGTCTGCTTGGAGATCCACCCAGACAATGCTACTACCCCACAAACACACTATCCCGACAACAAAACCGTCCTTACAACTGTCCAACTAATCAATCCCCTCACAATTTTTTCTCCTTTCCACACCCAACAGTAATGCCACCAATCAACCTAATGCCAAACAGTCTGTTTCCTTACTCTCAAATGTACCCCTTTCAGACACCCAGCGTACCCCAGTATGCCTATCTCCATGCGATCGTGAGATAAGCGATCAACTATGGAAATCCTCTTCCTTTTCACAGGATCTTAACGAAAACGATGAAGGCTTTAAGCACCGAACACTCGATATACCGGTCGGACCATCATCTAACTTTCATTTAACCTCAGCCGAATCACATCATCATCTCCTTCATTTTGCCTCGTCCCATACCACTAATCAAAGATCATAATAATATATTTCACATAAATTAAGCATTTACATGATTCACATACCGTTTGTACAGGCATGATCATATTAGACAAGTGCAGTCTGAAATTGAACACTGTTTTATGAAATTAAAAATTGGAAAATGACCTCTAGAAACCTTATAAGAATAGAATATAAGATTTTGGTTTAAGTCTAAATTATAATATTTAATATACTCATAGTGAGTCAGATTCATGCGGGAATTATGAAATTTTGCGTTAATGGAAGGTAAGAAGAGAGGTGATATACAGGTGCTAGAGTAAGACACACTGGGTGCAGACCGTTATTATTATCATTTTGTCAACCAATAAGGGTTCGAAAGTTGGTGACTCTAAAGAATAGCGGCCCAAACCGAAACGACCTTCGAACAAAAAAGTGACCTTGAGCAAGGAATCCGCTGACTATCATTTTCGGAAGCAATCATGGATGTCTTCGATTACTGTTTGGATAACGGACTGATAGCTTTGTCGAAAATTTGCCAATGCGGAGGAGTTATGCATATACAAAAATACACAGAGGCCATTGATGGCTTTGTATACAGATGTATTGAGTGCCGAAGGAGGAAATCGGTTCGAGAAGGTTTGTCGTTGTTTTTTAGTTTACAGATGCCTTAGGAACTTTTCTCTCAAGGTCTAAACTACCTTTGAAGAAAATTTTAATGATCTGTAACTTCTGGGTCCTGAAAAGAGCAGTCACAGCTACAGCTTATGAAACATTAAATTCAGAGGTGTCAGCAGTGCAATGGTACAACTACTGCAGAGAAGTTTCCTCCTGGAAAATGAACACCCTGACTCAAGTTCTCGGGGGAGTCGGCAGCATAGTCCATATTGATGAGACTGTACTTATAAAAAGGAAATACAACCGCGGGAGATTGCAAGCAAACCAGCAGTGGATACTGGGTATCTACGACACGATACTGAGCAAAGGGTATATAGAAGCGATTCCCAATCGCAGTGCAGCAGTATTAGTACCTATTAATAAGCGTTTGGTGTTGCCGGGGACGACTATTCAAACAGATGAATGGAGCGGATACCGTCAATTATCGAATCATGGGTACATACATCATGTTGTGAATCATACGGACGGTTTCCGGAATCCTTTGGATGGAACCCACACCAGTTCCATTGAAAGTTTTTGGAGTCGTCTAAAAAGACGTATAAGAGCGGTTAATGGATCGAGAAATCCCATGGTTTACAGTTACCTGGATGAATTTATGTACCGAAACTGGCTTCGTATGACTATGAAGACTCCCATGAGAAACTGGGAGGTTTTTTGCAACATATACGCGAACGCCATTCTTTGTAACTGTTTATTATGATTGCATTCCTTTTATATAAACCGTTTTTTACAATTATGCGCCTTTCTTTTTGAGCCTTCTCATTGGCCGAAGTTGTCCCTGTCAAGGTCATTTTTGCGTTGAAAGGTCGTTTCGGTTTGGGCCGCTATTCTTTAGAGTCACCCGAAAGTTTATAAAAATCCACATTAGATGGTAAGTACAGCATTATATTGGTATTAGCAGATAAAAGGGACCAATTGGTCGCAAAGCTAAATTTGCGATGTTGAACAGAATTCAGAATGGAGTTTGTTCCGTTGTTCATCGTAAGTGCTAACAATATTCTGGATACCGCTCAAGTAATACGGGTGTAGAAAGCAGGATTACTGTCCATTAGCAGTGCTTCAGTGCAATACCTTCGAGAAGTGAAGAAAACAGAAGCAGCCAGCAGATAATAATAATTTAAGCAAACAATATGCGATAACCGCAGGGTTTATTCTCCTTTTTTATTGCTAGGAATTTCTAGTCATTGAGTTTTATAGTGTCACATACTAACGGTTAGATTAAGTTTATAGTAGTAAACAACAACTGAAGTGTAGAATAACAATAAAAAAAGTAAAAATTAGGGCGAAACGAATTATGGTTTTCACTCTTATATAGGGTAATGTTGGGAATAATAACTGAAGAAGTGAAATCCAAATGCCAAAGTACATAAGTTATTTAGAAGAAAAGAGTAAGTATAGTAATACTGATTTATGCTGTTGTTCTGATTTATACAGTTAGATGTCCTCCTGAAGTAGAGAAGTGGTATCATGAGCCATTTTTTCAAAGAGTTTGTACGCAAGCTGTGACATACAGGCAGCATTTATTTTTTATTTTATTTGTTTATTTATTTATTCTTTTTGAAGTAATTCATCCTCATGAGCCTTAGCAGTATAGTGCATTCCCACAGATAAGGGTGGTTCTCTTAAGTCCCCACCATCATATCCACTGAATAGCAGTCACCACCCTCCCACCTTTTTACTCTTTTCCTTATAAACGCTCGTTCTATCTGCAATAAAATTCCATACCTTCACTCCTTACTTTCACTTTGTAAGCCCTCAGTACTGTTAGTTACCGAGACATGGTTACCATCTGACTTCAATGACAGACTACTAGAATCACCAGGATACACACACTTTAGACATGGCAGAGAAGAAGGACGTGGTGGTGGTTGTCTTATCTTTGTTAGCAATAAATTCCACGCTGTAGAAGTTGATGATTTGGGTTGCTCACTGACAGACGCAGTATGGGTTACACTCAACACCAACTTAAATACAAGACTCTTATTGGGATGTATATATCGCCCGCCCAATTCTGATACTAACACAACGAACCGTCTATGTGAAATTTTCGAACACGTCTCCTCTCTAAATTTTGACTATAAAATTATAGCTGGCGACTTTAACATGCCTGGTATCCAGTGGAATAGCCTTAAGGTTCCTAAATACACTGATCGTTTTATAAATTCGGTTGAACTCTATGGATGGACACAAAATGTTATTCACCCCACACGTAAATCCAACATCTTAGATCTAATCTTCACACATAACATTCTCCCCGTCAGCACTCGAGTTGGGCCTTTATTCCCTGGCAGCGACCACAACACGGTCACTTCCACCTTTAACCTAACAGCAGGTAGGTCAGGCAAAGGGCGTCGTCGGACAGTAAAAGTCAGAAACTTTTCAAAGGCTAATTGGGAAACAACGCAGTCTTTTATTCGTTGCCAAGACTGGGATACCTTTTTCTCCTCGGCAGACATTGATACTGCCCTTGACAGTTTCTACTCCAACATATCTGTTTGCTTCAACGAATCTATCCCTTGGTATACATCCAAACGCAACTGTGTAAATCAATTACATATACCGAATGCTACCAGGAATAAGCTAAGAAGACTCCGTAGAACCTATAATAAATCTATGGACTTCTCCTCGCTCATTAGCATCCTAAAGGTATATGATAAAATCAGATCAGATAATGCCGTTAAAATTTACAAAGAAGAACTTATCGCCCTTAAAAGTAACTCCAAAATTAGCTCCCTTTGCAAACTCTTCCAAAAAAGACTGAAACAAAAACAAGGCAACATTCCTTACATTCTTCATAATAATGTCGTTGTTAAGGATGATGCAGGCATAGCTGAACTCTTTAACAAGCACTTTTCTGACTCATACACGCATGATATTTCTGGATGCATAGAATTTGACTCGTTAACAGGCAAAACACTGTCAAATATATGCTTGACTGTTGATGTTATAGAAAGTGCAGTGCGTTCATTGAAATTTTCCAATACTCCTGGACCTGACTCAATTCCGTCATTCTTCCTAAAACATGGTGGCTCCGATCTACCTCTCCTTTTGCTTAAAATATTCTCAACGTCCCTTATGAACGGAGTTTATCCTTCCAAATGGAAGCAGACACATATTGTCCCTAGATTTAAATCCGGCTCAAAATGTGATGTAAAAAATTACAGGCCAATCAATATAACGTCTGTCTTGTCTAGGATACTTGAGAAGATAATCAGTACCAAAATCACTGACTTCTTATTGACTGAAAACCTCATAACACCTTCTCAACATGGTTTTATAAAGTCCAGATCATGTATGACTTGCCACCTGGAACTATTCGATTTTATAACTGGACTTATTGATCAAAAATTCCTTGTGCTCATTGTGTATATCGATCTTAAGAAGGCATTCGACAAAGTATGTCATGATTTACTCCTGAAAAAACTTAAGGCTTATGGTATATCTGGCAATCTATTAGACTGGTGTAATTCGTTTATGCGTGGTCGGTCCCAGTCTGTTAAGATTAACGACACTTTTTCCAGTACCACTCCTATATCAAGTGGCGTAATTCAAGGTAGTGTACTAGGACCTCTCTTCTTTCTTATATACCTAAATGACGTCTGTAATGTTATAAAGCATGGCAGACCCTTCTTATATGCCGATGACTTGAAAGTAGTCTACTACAGTACCACCCAAGAACTGACAAACCTATCTTATAAAATCCAATCGGATATTGATAATATTGAAACTTGGTGTAAGTCGTGGATGATGCAGATCAACGTGCAGAAGTGTGGTCTGTTATGCTCAACTCGTTTACGTATCGCACCACGCATAACTATATACGATAAGCCTATCACTATCTTTCCTTCTGTACTTGACCTCGGGCTTTGTTACTCTGCCGATATAATAATAATAATAATAATAATGATTTATTTTCATATAAAAATAAATTTAGACATTTGTAAAAAATTATATTTGTAAAATCTCAGCGATATTGAAATGAGTAATTCCAACGTTTCGTTCGGCAATCTGGTCCGAACTTCTTCAGGGAAATTAATCGAAATTAACATAACAGGTTTATATATAAAAGGAACATCTTTAGTTTTTAAAAACTTTGTCCAATCATGATTTATAAAACAAATATTAACAAGTATAATAAACAAAATTGTACGAGTTGTGATCAAAATTTGACCTCAGACTTACAAATATTGATCTACCTTTGTTAAACACTTTAAACACAGTGTGTATGTGTGTGTGTGTGTGTGTGCGATAAACAGTTGTAAAACAATGTCTTAACGTCTCCATAAGTAGATATAGACAGTCGGGAAACTTTGACCAAGTATTATTAGTTAGTGATACATATCCATTCTTATTTATTAATCAGGATTTCCTATGCGTCATCTAACATCACACCTTCATGTCTGTTCAAACTGTTAGTATCTAGAATTTTATGATTAGACGTATTTTCAAAATTATGGTGTTTAGGATTAGAGTTTAGTTGAACAACCCCGTCAAACTTATTACTTTGTCTTCTTTCTGAAAATTGAGCTGCTTTATTCGACCTACTGAAGTTGTCAGGTGACTGGACAGCTACGAATTTAGGATACGCATTCTGCTGCAGACAACGGAGAGTGGAAACACGATGATTGTGCCAATTACATAGTTTCTTTGTTAATTTAATTCGATTACAAAATAAATCAAATGAACTGTAGTCAAGATTTGACAGAATAGTTCTATAATATTTGGGCGCCGAGTGAGAAGTAGACATTTGTAAAAAATTATATTTGTAAAATCTCAGCGATATTGAAATGAGTAATTCCAACGTTTCGTTCGGCAATCTGGTCCGAACTTCTTCAGGGAAATTAATCGAAATTAACATAACAGGTTTATATATAAAAGGAACATCTTTAGTTTTTAAAAACTTTGTCCAATCATGATTTATAAAACAAATATTAACAAGTATAATAAACAAAATTGTACGAGTTGTGATCAAAATTTGACCTCAGACTTACAAATATTGATCTACCTTTGTTAAACACTTTAAACACAGTGTGTATGTGTGTGTGTGTGTGTGTGCGATAAACAGTTGTAAAACAATGTCTTAACGTCTCCATAAGTAGATATAGACAGTCGGGAAACTTTGACCAAGTATTATTAGTTAGTGATACATATCCATTCTTATTTATTAATCAGGATTTCCTATGCGTCATCTAACATCACACCTTCATGTCTGTTCAAACTGTTAGTATCTAGAATTTTATGATTAGACGTATTTTCGAAATTATGGTGTTTAGGATTAGAGTTTAGTTGAACAACCCCGTCAAACTTATTACTTTGTCTTCTTTCTGAAAATTGAGCTGCTTTATTCGACCTACTGAAGTTGTCAGGTGACTGGACAGCTACGAATTTAGGATACGCATTCTGCTGCAGACAACGGAGAGTGGAAACACGATGATTGTGCCAATTACATAGTTTCTTTGTTAATTTAATTCGATTACAAAATAAATCAAATGAACTGTAGTCAAGATTTGACAGAATAGTTCTATAATATTTGGGCGCCGAGTGAGAAGTAGACATTTGTAAAAAATTATATTTGTAAAATCTCAGCGATATTGAAATGAGTAATTCCAACGTTTCGTTCGGCAATCTGGTCCGAACTTCTTCAGGGAAATTAATCGAAATTAACATAACAGGTTTATATATAAAAGGAACATCTTTAGTTTTTAAAAACTTTGTCCAATCATGATTTATAAAACAAATATTAACAAGTATAATAAACAAAATTGTACGAGTTGTGATCAAAATTTCACCTCAGACTTACAAATATTGATCTACCTTTGTTAAACACTTTAAACACAGTGTGCA